TAGTCAGGGGGGGTCACCCTCTATGTGCCACTAGTCAGGGGGCTCACCCTCTATGTGCCACTAGTCAGGGGGCTCACCCTCTATGTGCCACTAGTCAGGGGGCTCACCCTTTATGTGCCACTAGTCAGGGGGCTCACCCTCTATGTGCCACTAGTCAGGGGGTCACCCTCTATGTGCCACTAGTCAGGGGGGGTCACCCTCTATGTGCCACTAGTCAGGGGGGGGTCACCCTTTATGTGCCACTAGTCAGGGGGGGTCACCCTCTATGTGCCACTAGTCAGGGGGGGGTCACCCTTTATGTGCCACTAGTCAGGGGGGGTCACCCTCTATGTGCCACTAGTCAGGGGGGGTCACCCTCTATGTGCCACTAGTCAGGGGGGGCTCACCCTCTATGTGCCACTAGTCAGGGGGCTCACCCTCTATGTGCCACTAGTCAGGGGGCTCACCCTCTATGTGCCACTAGTCAGGGGGGTCACCCTCTATGTGCCACTAGTCAGGGGGGGTCACCCTCTATGTGCCACTAGTCAGGGGGCTCACCCTCTATGTGCCACTAGTCAGGGGGGTCACCCTCTATGTGCCACTAGTCAGGGGGGGTCACCCTCTATGTGCCACTAGTCAGGGGGCTCACCCTTTATGTGCCACTAGTCAGGGGGCTCACCCTCTATGTGCCACTAGTCAGGGGGGTCACCCTCTATGTGCCACTAGTCAGGGGGGGGGGTCACCCTCTATGTGCCACTAGTCAGGGGGGGTCACCCTCTATGTGCCACTAGTCAGGGGGGGGGTCACCCTTTATGTGCCACTAGTCAGGGGGGGTCACCCTCTATGTGCCACTAGTCAGGGGGGGTCACCCTCTATGTGCCACTAGTCAGGGGGGGGCTCACCCTCTATGTGCCACTAGTCAGGGGGCTCACCCTCTATGTGCCACTAGTCAGGGGGCTCACCCTCTATGTGCCACTAGTCAGGGGGCTCACCCTCTATGTGCCACTAGTCAGGGGGGTCACCCTCTATGTGCCACTAGTCAGGGGGCTCACCCTCTATGTGCCACTAGTCAGGGGGGGCTCACCCTCTATGTGCCACTAGTCAGGGGGGGCTCACCCTCTATGTGCCACTAGTCAGGGGGTCACCCTCTATGTGCCACTAGTCAGGGGGTCACCCTCTATGTGCCACTAGTCAGGGGGTCACCCTTTATGTGCCACTAGTCAGGGGGCTCACCCTCTATGTGTCACTAGTCAGGGGGCTCACCCTCTATGTGCCACTAGTCAGGGGGCTCACCCTCTATGTGCCACTAGTCAGGGGGTCACCCTCTATGTGCCACTAGTCAGGGGTCACCCTCTATGTGCCACTAGTCAGGGGGCTCACCCTCTATGTGCCACTAGTCAGGGGGTCACCCTCTATGTGCCACTAGTCAGGGGGTCACCCTCTATGTGCCACTAGTCAGGGGGTCACCCTCTATGTGCCACTAGTCAGGGGGCTCACCCTCTATGTGCCACTAGTCAGGGGGTCACCCTCTATGTGCCACTAGTCAGGGGGTCACCCTTTATGTGCCACTAGTCAGGGGGGGGTCACCCTCTATGTGCCACTAGTCAGGGGGGGGTCACCCTCTATGTGCCACTAGTCAGGGGGGGCTCACCCTCTATGTGCCACTAGTCAGGGGGCTCACCCTCTATGTGCCACTAGTCAGGGGGCTCACCCTCTATGTGCCACTAGTCAGGGGGGGCTCACCCTCTATGTGCCACTAGTCAGGGGGGGCTCACCCTCTATGTGCCACTAGTCAGGGGGGTCACCCTCTATGTGCCACTAGTCAGGGGGTCACCCTCTATGTGCCACTAGTCAGGGGGCTCACCCTCTATGTGCCACTAGTCAGGGGGCTCACCCTCTATGTGCCACTAGTCAGGGGGTCACCCTCTATGTGCCACTAGTCAGGGGGTCACCCTCTATGTGCCACTAGTCAGGGGGCTCACCCTCTATGTGCCACTAGTCAGGGGGTCACCCTCTACGGTATGTGCCACTAGTCAGGGGGCTCACCCTCTATGTGCCACTAGTCAGGGGGTCACCCTCTATGTGCCACTAGTCAGGGGGTCACCCTCTATGTGCCACTAGTCAGGGGGCTCACCCTCTATGTGCCACTAGTCAGGAGACCACCAAGCCAGTGTTTACTGTCTGGAAACAATGAATATCAAATAATCTATCAGATGATAAGATATTTTAATACAAATATTTCCACCTGCTACATGTGCTAGAAGAAAAGTCAGTAAATCACAAAAAGTCATTTGCATTCATCCCTTTGATGTCTGTTTGATTTCCATGGCATGCTATCAGTTGTATGGATGCTCTCTCACAGTTTGTGCATGTGTTTTCTTTCTTCAATCTCAGATCCAGTTATGTATGGAATGAAAAAATGCCTGGTGGTCCATGATATAACATGAGCAGACTTCTTCTTCGAGTCCGTAGCAATCTCAGATGTCGTTCTGCCAGTATCGGGCACAGGCCACAGCTGATGGCGTAGGTTCTGCCAGGTCTTCTGGACTGCTCCAGGGGGCATCGGCACATTCCAGTAGGTGGGACATTGTCTGCACTGATCCACAGCTGCACGTGTCTTCTGTGGTGTAGTTCCACACTTTCATCAGTGCTTTGCACCTCCCCTGTTCCACACGCAGTCTATTAAGTGACTTCCAGGTTGTCCAGCCAAGGTCGTGGCCACTAGCGAGGCTTTCCGTTGGTGTGATTCCTCTGTCCAGCCATTCAAGAGCTCGTGTGTCATGTCTTTGCCATTCATCTTCCCAGATGTTGGTCCTTGCTGCTTGTTTGGTTGTCTGGAGGGGCAGGACTGTCTGCACAAAACTGGCTCTGGATCGGAGCCTGCGTGGGGGTGCTACGTGGCCATGCAAGGGGTGTCTGATGTCTGTCTCCTGTGTTCTCTGTTCATCTTGAGCGATACCTAGTCGTCTGATGTGTGGGGGAGAGATGCCGGCTAGCGCATAGAGGCACGGGACAGGTGTTGTCTTAACGCATCCCGTGATGATGCAGCAGGTGTCATTCAAGGCTGTGTCGACCAGTTTGGTGTGACGTGATCGGCTCCAGCTTGAGCAGGCATACTCTGCTGTAGAGAAACACAGGGCCATGGCAGTTGCACGGATTGTTGGTGGATCTGCGCCCCACTTGGAGTTCACTAGTTTGCGCAGGATGTTGTTGCAGGTGTTGACCTTGGCTTTGGTGTTCTCCAGGTGTTTCTTGAAGGAGAGTGTCCTATCCAGTGTAACACCAAGATACATGGGATGCGTATGGTTGGACAGTTTGTGGCCATCCCAGGTGACGCTCAGTTCTTTTTTAGCGTCTCGGTTCCTCAGGTGGAAGCTGCATAGTTGGGTTTTTGATGGGTTGGGTTTCAGGTGGTTGTTATTGTAGTAGCTTGACATTTCTTGGAGGGCACTTTCAAGGACAGGCTCAATCTTCTGGAGGTCAACTTGGTGGGTGGTGATGCAGAGGTCATCTGCGTAGATGAAACGCTGGCATTCTGGGGGTAGTGGCTGGTCGTTTGTGTATATGTTGAACAGGAGGGGGGCCAGTACGCTACCTTGTGGGAGGCCGTTCTTTGGGCTTTCCACTTGCTCCTCTGGTCATTTAACTGGACGTAGAAGCGCCTGTTGTTGAGGAGGCTTTTGATGACTTGACACAGATTCAGGTCACCAGTCATGTCCAGTAGTTTCCTGACCATTGCATGGTGTTGGACAGTGTCATAGGCAGCAGAAAGATCTATGAATGCTGCTCCAGTTATTTGTTTTCCTTCAAACCCATCCTCAATGTGTTGGGTGAGGTTGAGTAGCTATCCAGCAGGAGCGGCCAGGACGGAAACCAGCTTGGTCTTTAGTCAGCTTGGTGTCTATGAGTGGCATGAGGCGTTGGAGTAGCAGCCTCTCGTAGAGTTTGTAAGTGATGCAGAGGAGGGAAATGGGTCGGTAGCTCTTTGGGGATGATGGGTCTTTGCCGGGTTTGGGGATTGCAACCACTTTGGCCTTTCTCCAGACAGGAGGGATGGTTATTTGTGCCATACATGTGTTCAGCATCTCCAGGAGCCAGGTCTTTACGTTAGGTCACAGGTGCTGTATCATTTCATGAGCAGACTGCATGAGACTGATGTATCTGCCACTGTTTCAAAATATTGCATGATAAAACCCTCACAGACCTAAGGAACCTTTTTATTGTCCTTTTTTAATATGCATATAGCCTTGACGAATGCTTCTTAAAAATATAAGACGACAAGTCTGATTTATTTCAATATTCCTACTTGCAGGAAAAGAATCCATTATCCTGTGTTATCCTGTTATAAACTTTCACGCATGCCAGAGAACCCAATAAATGTCATAACATTGCCAGATCCTTTTTCTGTTTAAAACAGCTTTATGACCCTCACCTAGATAAATCTCTGAGAACAAATGCAATGGAGGGAAGGTGTGTGTGTGTGCAAGGGGAGGGGGCACATTTTTCCGAACCAAAAAGCCTTATCCATCTTTAACATCCTGTCCCCACCTCTTAAAAATGGAAAAAGGATACTTTGTGAGGGTTTGTGAGTGCAGATTGAGAACAAACAAGTCCCTATAAGGTAGGGAAAGGCAAAGAAGTATTGGAATGTCTAAATAACCTCTCCTTCTGGCAAGGCTTGATGGGTGATCAACAACCCTTTTTTTATCCATGGAGATGTAATGTAGGCAGTGGGCGCTGCTCAAACCACAGTATTTGGATGTTTGGTTTAGCTGTAATTGCTTAATTGGAGGGAATGAGGAAGTTGATATGCCAGGAAACACACATGCTGAAAAGCAGGACCCTTTTTTTTTAGGTTCGACTTTAGACTACACCAAGACTGTATGTACTGTATTAATGAGATGTCATGCGATCTGTTGGCTTTATGTCAAGCACCCCCCCCCCCCCCCCCCACAGGTCCTCACCACATCATTGAGGTTGTAACATTTTATACAAATAAACGTATTTCATTCTTTTTGCAGAACTCCTTCTCCAGTGTCTTTCACATGGAATATGAGGAGCTGCGGGAAGTCCTCGACCCCCCCAAAAGGTAAGCTGATCGCCCTCAACTCAAATGAAATTAAAGGTCCCCGCAGATTGGCCTTCAGTACTCCAGCTGTTTCCACCAGTTATAAGCGCAGATCTGTCCTTTAACTTGAAAACAAGCCTTTCTCCTCTCCTTACAGGAGGTCTGTGGAACGGAGCTTTGCATAAGGATTTATTGTCATCAGAAAGACATTCACAACAGGAAAGGCAGTTGTATGGCAAAGTTTCTCGCAGTAGTAAGAGTATCTTTGTGTCCAATCAGTCACTTTACTTCATCACTTCTATTGAGAAAAAGAAAAGACAGAACAACTGGTAAAAAAAAAGGTATATACTGTGAGAAGCAAAGCCAGTACAGTAAACACCTTTTAACAGTCTGTACACTGGAATGAACAGTATCAAAGCAAATAAACACACAAAGAAATCAAATAGATATAAAGCAACCAAGAGTAACCAAATCAATTCAAGATTTACAGGCAGTATACTGTACAGGGTCACAAGAAGAAATGCTACAGCTGCAGAGCTTCCTGCATCAACTGGTGCTCCAGGCCAGAGGAGCCAATCAGATATAATCTGATTTAAGATGCAATGAGATAGAAATCCCCCCCGCCCCCGTCTCCAGGGTGGCCTGGCCTCCCCAGTTGCTACGCAGCATCAGAAATTCAATCTTAATCTCAGTCCGAGCAACATAGCTGAAGTGTGTGTGTGCATGTGTGTGAAGTTATGATGCTGTATACTGTGACGCACCGACGTGTGGAGCTGAGCGGCATCACTGTGGCTGAAGTAACAGAAACGCTACAGTATGGACTCATGTTATGATCATTGTAGAATTTGAATGAAGGTGTAAAAAACCTCTCGACCTGATTTGATAAAAGCAAGATCAAACTGTCCTTTCTATTTCCTCTACTCAACAATTAGCTTCTCCAGTCCGATAAGAATACACATTTGGAGGATACACTAAAACTCTAGTTTAATAATAAACATTCAAAATCACACATGTCAAAAAATGTAATTTCTATGAAATGTGATTGTAATAATGTATCATGGAGCACTAACCCTAACGCCATACAATATAGCATGAGAGGAGTATCATGAAAGAGACCAAATTAAATCAATAGACAGACAAACGTTTACTATTTTAAATAATACAACTTTGGTCTGACAAAAGTCAAGGTTCACATCTTAAATCATCTAATGTCAGATGGTCTATGTAAAGACAACAAATGACAACTGATTTCCAGCGGCTGATAAGGACAAATACATTTACAACAAATTAGCAGTTTGGCCCTTTAAAGCTAAAATATATCTATGGAAAAAGGTGGTGGCGAGAGCACGCTCGTGAACTATCAACAGTGGGGGGATGGGGGGTGCACTGTTAGCGCCGGAGCCTCACTGCGGGGAAACTGTGGTGCGCATAATTGCGGTGCATTTGCGCATAAGATGAGGCCCCCTGCGCAAGATGAGGCCCCACGCACTGCGCGTGTAGGGAGGGGCGGCCCCTTGAGAGAGCCTGTGTGCATGCAGGATGTTAGCTGTGATTGGCTCGAACCACAGGAGGCCTTTTATAGTGACATGACCCTGGGCTTTAACCATACGGCGTGAGTTTGGCCAAGCAGGACGTTCTGTGGAGCTGAACCCATGATATG